TTACAATAAGTGTAGTCTTGTGTTGCAAGGTCACCTCTACCGCAATATATCTCCCGTCACTGTCCTTAAAAATTTCTTTTGGATCCAATTCTTTTTTGACATAGATCACCGTCCCTCTTTTCTTCTTCGTTGCAAGTGAATAAAATACTTGTCCTAATCTCACAGTTTCCAAATATTTAAAATCTCGATTTCTGATATGAGTTTCTTGTAGACATGTCACACTACATTTTTGTTTCTCTAGCCAATGTTTTACAGTTTTCCTTTTGTTGGGTGAGTTAATCCCATTCACATTCCAAGAGATGATTTTGTGCTCCATCATGCTTGTTCTTCCTTATCACCAAAGTCTTTACTATGCTCATACATAAATTCCGCCATCCGTCCAGTACTTTTGATCGTGAGTCTTTGACTCTTATAATTAAAGCTCAATCCTTGCAGGAGCTCCCATCTGTATTTAATTTTCAAGTGTCTTAGCTTGTCGGTTAACTTTTTGTACTTTTTCCGATCTTGTAACACCACTCTGGGGAGTTCCTTCATTATCATTATCTTGGTTCCCTCCATTTCAAACGGATCCACAAATTGTTTTCTCATAATGATTTCATGCATTCTTTTGGTCAACAGCTGGACAATCACATCTCTTGGAAGATTTTTCTTTTGTGTGTACACTGAATTAACTCTGTAAATCAAATCAAAGTGGTATTCTATATCATCGGCATCATCTTTCAGGTATTCCGCAAAGGCTTTGATAACTCTATTTCTTATATCATCTTGGATCTCTTCTTTAATACCTCTCAGTCTGATGTGGGTCTGCATAGCTCTACAATCCGACATGACGTCCAGTCTTTTATTTTCTTTCACTACTGTGTCCACTTTTAGGTCAACATCTTGCATTTTTTGTTCAATTTCAGAAGATTTCTGGATATGTTTTAAATTTCCTTTTTCAGTTCTCCTACTTCTTTTTCTAATTTTTCTCCCACTTCTTTCTTCATGTCTACCAACAGTTCTTTCATCTGCCTGCCCATTTCCTGGATTGCATCTGTCATCCTTTGCTCTATTGCTTCCATAGCGGCCTGTAATTCTTTATCCTTCTTTGCAGTCATTTTTGGTGTTGAAAAGGACGCTGCTCTTTGTCTCCCCCGAAGCTCCGTTTTTGTTTCTATTTTTGCTTCAACTTATATTATTTAATAGTCCTTTTTTGCGCATATCTGAAATCGCTATTTTTCGCTCTTCTACAGCCGTTATTTTGGTTATAAAAAGTCAATTTAATAGTTAGTCCTCCTCAAAATGTCGGGCGTTCTTTCTCTATGGTTTTCCAGTGTAGAGTAGGATCTTTATGCTTACTTCCTGTCCCTCGCCGAATCACTCCATTCCTCAGCTTCCTGTGCGCTTCACCACCTGGCCCCCTGTAGATTTCCGGTCTGACATTCTCTCGCTCCGATGCACTTCCGTCCAGACGATCCCGTCTAGGCAATTTCTTGCTTTCTTCCTCGGACGTCACTTCCGCCCTTTGCCGGTCCGTCATCACCCTGTTGTTTGGAAGCTGGTACTTTTCCAACCACAGGAATGCAAAACAAAGTTCTTTTGTCGCTCTTTTTACTGTTTTCTCGTCACTTTTTGGAATTTTTTTCACACAGTTCCACTTTAAAATCATCACAGACTTATCCGGCTTAATTCATCAACTATTCAAGTGCTTATCCGGTAAGTTAAATTGTTTTTGTTACCTTACAAGTTTATTCCGATCTTTGCACTGCTTTGCATAGTCCAAATTCCTTCTCTTTCATCCATGAAGCCGGGAAATGGCCATTCTATGCTGATAACTCAGCTCGACAGGCTCCTTTAGAGTAAAAAGCACCGCCCGTTCCGAGGTAGGAGATCAAAGTAACTTACAAGCTTCTTCCAAAGCTTGTTTGTGCCAATCTCAACTATCTCTGGGGTCTTGCTGCTTGCCAGACTCCCCCCCTGCCTGGGGAGGGTTGCGTTGGGCTAATCAATAGCCCAAACTGTCGAAAGGAGCCTTCGTCCACTCTGAGCACTTTCAGAGTGCGTCAAATCGCCATTTTAGCCCGACCGGAAGCCCAGTTAACAACAATTTGTCAACTTCCTGCAGGATATACATTCACTGTATCATGTGAATAGGGATAGAGTATGTGTGTGCAATCTATGTACAGTGTACATATGATTTTTTGTTTGTATGTTCATCAAATAATTCTTATATTACCTTCAACATGTTTATGGATGAACTTCCCCATGAAATTATGAATGTGTGTGTTTAAACTCCAGATTTATCTAGGTGCTGGTCTCTGCTTTAATTTTTCATATGTTAGGGGTGGCAGCTAGAAAGGTCTCCACCAGTCAAACTTCTAAGAAAGCAGGTTGCATCAGAAAGATGCCCCTGGACATTAGTAGGATCCATGGTTTCTAGAGATGAAGGATGTCCTCCAGAGATTTTTAGCCTAAGCCATTCAAAGGTCAGAATGGCCACTGTGAATCTGGAGTGAGCAAACTGGAAGCCAATATAGTTGATATAACATGTGATGCTCATTGTCACGGCTCCCTGAATATTCTAGCCACAGTATTTTTTTTTTATCAAGTTGAGGTTCTGAATCATTTTCAAGGTCAATTCCATATACAGTACATTACAGTAATCTTGACTGGATATTAGCAAGGCATGTTTGTCAGTGGTCAGATCAGCATTCTCCAGCTTTCCTGGGCTTGTGTCATCTGATTCTGTGTCCTCCATAGTCCTGTACACTTGAGAGGCACCAGCAACAACTCAGTTAGGGAGAAGGGAGGCCGTTCTTGCTACCTTATTCCTCCTCTTCTCCCACCAAGGTTCCTCTTTGCAGCCTCTGTGGATGTCCTCCTTGGTTGGCCATCTGGCTCTTTATGAGGTCTGTGCAGAATCCTGTACAGGTCCAGTGACACACTCAGAATTCTCATAAAAGAACAAAGACTTGTGGAGACCAGGCCACAGCTGGCCACTGCTGAGGCAGGTTCCCATGCCTGCCTCCTTAATTCCTGGTCCCTGAGGATAGCCTCATAGGCTGCTGCCATTAGCAAGTTTAAAGGCATTGTGCCATACCCCTGGACCCTGCAAGGCATGATGCACTAGTGTTGCCAATAGGGCCAGTGGAGGGTGGGACTTGTTCTATGGTTCCTGGGGTAAGCATGGAGATTGATCTATCCCAGAGAGGGGCCTTGGACCCAGACATATAGCTGGGGAAAAGTGTCCATAATGCTCTTCACCACTTATTCATCTAGGGACAAAACAGTCTAGCAGAACCCCCAAATTGAGAACCTGGTCATCTTTTTAGGGTAGAGTAACACCCCCCCACACACAACAACTGAATATATTTTCTTTTGTGAGGTACAATTTTAAATTATTTTATATCCTCTACTTTGCACAATTACTTAAAAATACTATATGAGCCAAACAGTGAAATAAAAAGCAGAAATCAACAGAACTTCTGCTGAGGACAACACTTTTAGCATGCATTTAAACTTTAAAATTGTCTTTGTGGCCCCTTTTAATGTTTATCTGTCCTTTTTAATAAGCATGAATTTTTGGGCGCTGTTGGAAGAAAATGTGTTCCCACAACCCCCTCTGGTTCGTGTTCCTCTGAATGTGTTGCCTCCTTACCAAAAGGCGGAAGGTGCAAGTTTGGAAACGCTGAGCACTGGCTAGAGACACTCCAAGCCAAGGTCTCTCTTCTTATATATTGTTTTTATTTAAAAAGGCTCAGTATTCAGAGTTTACCTGACAAGATTGAACAGCAAGACGCTGTATCAACTTGCCATACAATACACTTCTATTGCAACAAACTATAGACAGTAAACACACACAGAAAAATGAACATGCAGACAAAGTAACCCACCCCAAAAGCATGCAAGAAACGAAGAGGCCCCTTCGGGTTGACTTCCAATCTCTCAGGAGCTTTCCTGAGCTTTCCGAAGCCAACGAAATTCTGTTGGGTTTTCACCAGTATTTATACCCAATGATCAAAGGGTTTCCTTGATAATCCTATCACAGTTACCAATTTACAAGTGGAAATTGCCTACTGTAAATTGTTTTCCTGGAAGTTGAGATTGTAAATCCCTTCCTTACACCAAAATTTCACACTCATTTACTGGGATGTTTTTTTATTGTTTTCCTGTGTTCCCACCATTTGGGGCAACACTGTCCTTTTGAAGCTATCAGAGGGCTACTTCAAAGGGGAAGATGAGGTATGTGAAATCCTGTTGTCTCTGAGATCGCATATTGAATTAGGGTCCAGCTGCAATTGCTATTGTCTTTAAATTATGGGTCTCATACTCATATTGATTAAACCAAACTGTCCTTTTGGTGTTATAGCTGTGATAAAAGCGGGGTTTGTGTGAAATTCTGTCCCACACATTTTATTGCCTGGAAATTGGGGTCTGTCACTGACCAGCTGCTTATTGTAAATCTCACACCTGGGAATGGAATGTCACTGAGAGGCATGCTCTGCTTAGAGCAAACAGGGCTTCAAAAGAATCATGGTCTGGTGTAGTGGGACAGGCTCATAGCTGTTTTTCTAGCAATGACAGAGATGGGTACATGGATTCTGTAAACCATTTTGTTCCTTTTAAACCCAAACCTTCCATCTTTCTAATATTTCTTACCACAGGCGCTTTTTTGTATTTTTTAATATGTGCATGTGTGTGAGCATGTGTGCACCTGGAAGTCATGGTAACCTCTGATGACTGACCCCTACTGAGGGCCTAGAGGATATTCAGAGAGGTGGCTGAATAAAGCCTACCAGCACCTCCCACCTCTGATATTTCAAGGAGGTCTCCCATCCAAGTACTTGCCAGAGTTGACTTTGCTTAATTTCCGAGATATAATGAGATCAGGCTTGCCTTGGCTATCTAGGTCTGGGCAACAAGCATGAAATATTGAGCAGAGTCATATATGTTTTAAGCATCCCTTTTTTTTTCAAAGTATGAATCACTGGGCTTGACTATTACTCTCTTTGTCTGATCAGGTCCCAATAGTGGCTGCAATGACAACAGCAGGTGGCGTGAGATCAATGACAGCGATGTATGGCAGTGTACGAGCTCTTCAGAAGCTGAATGTCCTGGACTGCATTTCATATATTACTGGTTTATCTGGCACAACATGGTAAGAAGGACATGCACAAAACTGTGAGGGTGTATCCAGACTTGTGGTCCATTTTGTCACCATCTGCTACCTAATCACAGGAACAGCCATGTTAGATCAGATCAGTGAAGCACTTCTCCCACATTCTGATTCACAAAGTGGCCAATCAGAAGCCCCTGAAAGGTCTACAAGCAGGGCATGGTGGTCAAAGCCTCTCCCCGTAGTCCTTCTCCTGCACTTGTATTCAGAATCAGCAGATCTTTATGAAGGTCTACACATTTATTTATGGATTTAGAAATCGACTTAAAAGATCATAACACAAGAAAGAAGTCATGTAATCAGAGTTGAAAATGTTAGAATACGGTTTACATGCCGGAATTTCTTGAGACCTTCAAACTTTTTGCTTATGTCCCTGATAGAAGCACATTATTATAAGAACATGAGAAATAAAAATGATTTTTTAACATATGGCATGATGCTAAACACTCAGGGAAAATCAAGTCATGGCAAGATATTAAAGATGAGGGTGTAAACATTCAATGGCTGATATATTATTAATTAGTCTCAAGACTGAAGGAGATCACAAATACTGAAGGTGGAATTCTAAGAGATGAGACTGAATTTGAGCAGCTGATTATAAAACAAAAAGAGCATTTACTATGATGGATATATGATTGTACTCCAGCTAGAAACTATCTGAAGAGGTGTGCATGCACACAAAAGCTCATACTTTTTTTTTTAAGTTTTATTTAAAGTTTAACATACATCTGTTCATTGTACAGTATTACATATATTTTCAGAGTCCACTCTTTTTATCCAACCATTTGTACAATCCTGCCCATCTATCTAAAAAATCTTCGTCATTTTTCCCTTGTAGATACATATTTAATTTATCTATTTCCGCTACTTCCAACAGTTTACTCAATACTTCATCTGATCTGGGTACACAATCTAGTTTCCAATATTTAGCCCAGAGTATTCTTGCTGCCGTTATTACATACGCAATTACATATTTCTCATTAAAAGAAAACTTATCTGGGATAACATTCAGTAGAAATATGTCTGGTACCATTTCCAATTTTACTTTCAAGATTTCCTCTATAAGTTTTTGTATGGTTTTCCAATAATTTTGAATTTTTTTACAACGCCACCACATGTGGTAGAAGGTGCCAACATTTAGTTTACATTTCCAGCAAACATTTGAGCAATTTGGGTAACATTTGGCTAACCTTTCTGGGGACCAGTACCATCTATGATACATTTTGAAAACATTTTCTCTATAATTAGTTGCTCTCATATATTTTACAGATTTCCATATCTTTAACCAAGATTCCTTTGGTAACTCATGGCCTAGATCTTTTTTCCAAACCGCTAGATTATGGGTTTGCGCTTCTTCTGATAAATAATCCTCTAACAATATTTTATACATTTTCTGGATCATTTTATCATTTGATGAAAGCCAGATTTTATCTAGCTCATTTTTTTCTTGGTAGAAACCCACTTTCAGATCTATCTGGAATCTTGATTTTAACTGGAGCTTTTCCCACCCCGATAATTTCAAATTACATTGTGACAGTAAATTCTCCTCTGTTTTGAGGTGGTTTGTCTCATCTAATAGTTTTTCGTAGGTTTCTTTGTTATACTGGGTAAGGAACGCTGGTCTTATAAAGGCTTCCAAGGGAGACACCCATTTCGGTATTTTGGTATAGAATTTGGTTTTGATTTCATTCCAAACCTTTAACAGAGCCGCCCTTAGAATATGGTTTTTAAAGTGCAGGTGGGTTTTATCTTTCCCGTACCAAATATACGCGTGCCAGCCCATTACTAGGTCTGATCCCTCTAGAGTTAGGCCCCTCACGTCCTCCAACTTGATCCATTCCTTTATCCAGTCAAGACAGGCCGCTTGATAGTAAATTTTCCAATTTGGTAGGGCGAAGCCACCTCTGTCCTTTGCTTCTTGTAATAATTTTGCTTTAATTCTTGGTCTTTTAGCACTCCAGATAAATTTTTTGGTTATCTTCTCTAGTTCCTCCAAGAACTGGTTTCTTCTCAGCACCGGGATGTTCCGAGCCAAAAATAGGAATCTCGGCAAAATATTCATTTTGATCGTTGCCACTTTTCCTGATAGTGAAAGGTGGAGTTCCTTCCACTTGTTCAGGTCTTCCTTTATTTCCTCTAACAGTTTGGAATAATTATCCTCAATTAGAGTGCTATTTCTGTTTGTCATTGTTATACCTAGGTATTTTATCTTCTTAACTATCTCCATCGAGGTTATCTCGTGTAGTTGTTGTTTAGTAACTGTATCACAATTCTTTGTTAATAATTTAGTTTTTTTGAAGTTTATTTTCAAGCCAGCCACCTTCCCATAATCTTGGAGGACTTTTAGGAGTTCACGGCTAGAGTCTTTGGGGTTTTCTAATATGAACAATAAGTCGTCCGCGAAAGCCAGCAGTTTGTATTCCTGGCCTTTTAGTTTTAGGCCCTGGATATCTTCATTTTGTCTTATTAGGTCATTAAGTGTCTCTAACGCAAAAATAAACAGTAAAGGGGATAAGGGGCAGCCTTGCCTTGAGCCTTTTTGAATTTCAATATTCTGCGTTAGGTCCCCATTTATTATTATCTGGGCGTATTGTTTTTCATATATTGCTTTGATCATCTTTCTAAATTTGTCGCCACATTCTGTTATCTCTAATTTTTGCAGGAGAAAGGACCAAGATAGATTGTCGAAGGCTTTTTCTGCGTCTAGACACATTAATGCTAATTGTTTCCCTGGCTGGAGTTCATAGTACTCTAACACATTAATGACCGTTCTTATGTTACTTTTCATTGATCTTTTAGGTAGAAACCCTGATTGGTCATGATGAATCGTTTGTATCAAGACTCTTTTCAATCTGGTGGCCAAGATGGTTGCGAAGATTTTGTAATCTATATTTAAGAGTGATATTGGTCTGTAGTTTTTTATCTGATTCTTTTCTGTCTCTGGTTTTGGTATTAGTGTTATGGTTGCCTGGTTCCATGATTCTGGTACTTTACCTAGATCTTCAACCATCTGTACCACTGTCTTCATTGGGGATAGCAGTTGGTCTTCAAACACTTTGAAAAATTCCGCCGGGATACCATCTGGGCCCGGTGCTTTCTTGGTTTTTTGCTTCTTTAGTGCTTCTGATATTTCGGCTGCTGTAATTGGATCATTGAGGATATGTTGTTGATCTTGATTAAATTTTTGTTTGTTGTTCAACTCCAGGTATTCTTTAATTTTGGATTCTTCTTCTATATTTTGTTGATATAGATTTTTGTAGAACTTCTCCACAATTTCTTTTATGTCTTGCAGTTTAAATTTTTCAATATCATTTTCATCTTTCAGCGCAAGTATGGATCTTTTTTCTTTTTCTTTTCTTAATCTGTATGCTAACCATCTTGAGGGCTTGTTCGCATTTTCGAAGTGGTATAATCTTGTATACTCTATCTTTTTCGCCAGTTCTTGGGTTAATAACAAATTTATTTTATGTGTTAATAGTTTTAGCCTGATTTGTATCTCTTCCTTTTTGGTTCCTTTTTGTTGCGCCTCTTCTTGTTTTTTAATTTGCTTACCTAATTCTTTGTACAGTGCATTTCTTTGTTTTCTCTTCCATGCATCTTGGTTTATGAACCAGCCTCTCATATAGGCCTTAAACGTTTCCCAAACTGTTTGTATTGATATGTCTGGTTGGATATTTCGTGTAAAAAAATCTTTGATTTCTGCTTTTGTCCTTTCTACAAATTTTTTGTCTTTAAGTAGTGAAGTACTTATAGTCCATCTGTTTCTTTTTTTTGTTTCTTTAAAGGCAAGGAGTATTGGGTTATGATCAGCAAATGTTTTTGGCAATATTTCGGCCTCTAAGAGGTCACTCAGCAATATTAGGTTTACCCAAGCCATATCTATACGTGACCAGGAGTCATGTCTGTGGGAATAGAACGTAAAATCTTTTTTATCTATATTTCTTGCTCTCCAAGCATCTAGTAAACAGTATTCCTCTGCCAGTTGTAAAAAGCTTTTGGGTAGTCTTGGTCCCGCTTTTGTGTTTTTAGTATGTTTTTTTCTGTCTATTTCGGGATCAAAAACTGAGTTATAGTCGCCTATTACACATATGTTGTTGTGTCCCACAGCTCCCATTATTTGTCTAAGTCTTTCGAAAAAAATTTCCTGATTTTGGTTGGGCGCATAGATATTAATTAGTACTATTTCAATTCCATTTCTTACAATTTTAATTGCTACGATTCTCCCATCATCTGATGTATGAATTAGTTCTGGGTTTAGGTTGTCCTTAGCATATATCACCGTACCATTCTTTTTATTTTCACTTGCCGCTATAAATTCATTCCCCAGTTTTTTGTATCTAAGGTACCTTACGTCATTCTTTTTTATATGCGTCTCTTGTAGGCAGACTACGTCTGCCTGTATTTTTGTGATTTGGTGGAAAGTCTTTTTCCTTTTTTGAGGACTGTTCAGGCCATTTACATTAATTGAGAGTATTTTAAATCTTTTAGCGTGTTCCGGTAGCCCCATTATTTTTGTTGTCCTTATTCCTATATCCAAAACGGGTTAACATCTGGAATGCGGCTACTGCCTGTCTCTTTCTGTCCTTCTTCGTTGTAGTTTTCTTGGTTGTTCCTACGGCCTGATCCAGTCTGTGTTCTCCTTCCTCTGCTTCGCTTTCTCCACTTTGTTCTCCCTCCTCTTTTTGCCAACCCAGGTCTTCTCCATGCCTTTCCAGGAAGTTCTCTAGTTTGAAGATAGAATCAATTCTTTGTCGCCTTCCTTTAAATTCAAAAAGGATTCCTTCTGGGATCAACCATCTGAACGTTATCTGGTTGCTTCTCAGTAGATCGGTCAGAATATAGTATGTAGGTCTTCTTTCTCTTACTCTCCATGGTACCTCTCTTAATATCCTTATTTCGGCATTTTGTATGGTTACTTTGTTCTCATACGACGCTCTTATAATTTTCTCCTTGGTTTCGCGTTTATAAAATTTCACATGAACCTCACGAGGGACTTTATGTTTTCTGGCATAGCTGGAGTTTCTTCTATATGCAGATTCTATTTCTGCCTCAAGTTCTTCTTTAGTGGCAATTTCTAATTGCTCCGCAAAGCTTTGTGCCAACTCTTCTTTTAAGTTTTTCCCTATTGCTTCGGGGATATTTTGGCACCTCAAGGTAAATGCTGCCCTTTCCATCTCTAGGGCAATTAGTGAGACTTCAATCTTATCTTCTCTTAATTTTATCTCCTGTATCTCTTCCTCCAATTCTTGAACTTTACCTCTTGTTTCCTTATTATCAACAGCAACCTTTTGGATTTCCTGTCTATTTTCTGCTATTTGTTTTTTTATTTCTTCTGTTTCTGTTTTTATTTGTGTCGTAATTTCTTCCATTTTGCCTTTTAATGGGTCTATTTCTTTTTTTATCATGTCTGGTATGTTGGAGTCCATCATATTTTGCATTAGCTCCTGCATGATTTGTTTTAAATCTTTTATGCTCAGTTGCCCCACCGACATTGTTGGCTTCAGTTGGCCCAGCCCCCCCCCTTGGCTTGGAGAGGGTATAGATCCCTTTCTGTTGGCACCTGAGCCTGTTGCCATCTGTTTAGTTGCTATCCTGCTTGTAGCAGATATATTTGTTATTGGAACTTTTAACCTTGGCTTTTGTTTATTTTGGTTTTGTTTACCTATTCCCTTTTCCTAGTCCAGTCCTGGTTCTGTAAATCTCTTTATTGGATAGGTTTTCCTAATAGCTATTATGATTTAACTCTGTTGGGGATTCGTAATGTTAAGGACTCTGATTTCGGATATTTCGTTACTGTCCCTTTAAGTATCTCTTAAGTGTCTCTTCAATATCTCTTTAAATAGTTCTGTTTCTTTTAACTTTGGAGTGAGCTCAAAATTTAGCGTCTCCCGTTACTGTCTCTTTAAATGTCCCTTCAGTATCTCTTTCAATATCTCTTTAAATGTTACTGTTCCTTTTGGCTTTATTTTACACAGTCACTTTTGGCGTTTCCTTCCGCTCTATTCTAGTTTCTAGTCTCTTGTTTGCTGTCTTCTGCTCCTTCCCCCCTCCCCTCTCACTTCTCTGATCGCCGACGAAGCCACGTAGGACGAAACAGCTGTTCCGTCTGTCTCCGTCTGGCTCCCAACCCCGCTCGACGACGTAGCCACGTAGCCTCCTCAGCTCCTCCTCGGCTGCCCCCACCTTTCCACTCCGTCACGTTTCTGCTGCGTCACCGGTTCTCCTCTGTCTGTTTCCCTCCTCCCCTCACACGCGTCGCATCGGCTCATATCATCACTCCTACTGCCTTTACCCACTTCCCCCAATTGTTTCAGTTTAATAACTTTAGCCGCTTGCAAATGGGGCACTTTGTTCCCCCCCCTTTCTGTTTTCCTACACCGGAGCATTTTCCCTACCACTGGGTTTCACTTTCAAACTTTACCCTTATTTCCTTTTATTTTATTCATAAAAGGGAAAAAACTAGGAGTATACTTAGCTTCGGGTTCACTTGGCAATTTGGTGGAACTCCTTCTTTGGTCCTTGTTGGCTTGTCTGTAGCTCGACGTTCTCTGTCGGGGCTCCTGATGTTGTGCGCTTCGGGGTTGGCTCGGAAAACACTGGGAAGGGTCGCCACCCTCTCCAGGCCGATGCCCGCACCCCTTGCCAAGATTTCCTCTACAAGGAAGTCTTATGGTGGTGGAAAAAGTACCTTTAACACAACAAAAGGTCAGAATTGGTGTGGAGCTAGTCTCACACGCTGCTTCTCTCGACAAACCGGACGTGACGTCTCCAAAAGCTCATACTTTGAACAAACCTTTTTGGTCTTAAAGGTGCTATGGGACTCAAAGTGAAAAAATGTATGATTAAGTGGATGCAAAACCTTAAAGTACAGATATCTATGCAACAATGGGAATGACTATGGGGAAAAGATCAAATTTACAGTCAGCCAGACACTAAGAGAAAATTGGTACAAAATATTTTTCAGATGGTATATTGCTCCAAAGGACATAGAGAAAGCACATAAAAATGACCAAGGTAACTGCTGGAAAGTCAAGACATAGATGGAACCTTCTTTTATATGTGGTGGACTTGTAAAAAAGCAAAACGATACTGGAAAGAAATACATTGAAAAATACATAAAATATTAAAGTTTATATTCCCTATGGAAGCCAAGAGTATGCTATTAGGTGTTCTGCCTAACAAATTACCCAAAATTTTATAAGAGTTATTCAAAAACATGGTGACTGGCTTGAACTATTTATGCAGCAAAATGGAAACTAGATGTCTGTCCACATTTAGAAGAGTGGGAAAATAAATTTGCTGAATATGCAGTAATGGCAAAATTAGCAACCTGCTTGAAAAACAGATCAATTACGAAATCTGAGGAGAGATCGAGTGTATATTATGTGTATTATGCTAGCAGGAGACAAACTTAAAGTGATAAAATATCATATTCAAATAGATGGTAATGGAACAGAAGTAGAATTAAAATCTGTTCCAAATGCAATATTTTGAATACAAATGAGTTCTGTATAAAAGATACATAATAGACTTTCTTTTACACCATGACGTGGTGAAAATATGTAATACTGATGATGAAACCAATGTTGTAATCAAAATAGATTAGTTATGAAGTTTGAAACTTAAAGTTTAAATGATGAATACAACTGTACCTCAACAGAAATAAGAACTATTGTATTTTATAGATAGTACCTTAAAAATTATAATGATGGGGATGAAAGGGAAAATAGTCTCTATTTATGTACTATATGATAGTCTTTGACAAACTTAATTATGTAGTATAACCCTTGTTTCCCTTTTCTTTTCTGTACCCCCACTGTTTTCCTATTTTTTTTTAAAAAAAATGTGCATTATGGGTCAAATGAGCCTGAATGGTGTGAAATCTGTGAATAGATCCCTCACTATTTCTAAAACTTCAGTTTGTAGCTTTGCAGGGCCATAGTGTGGGAAGAAGAGAGTTGCAACTCTTTTCCTTGCATTATCTTCATTGTCTTAATCATTCCCCAAGGCCAGTTACCATACAGGTATTTGAATGTTTCCTGCTGCAGGGCAAATAGCAGTCCCAGGGTGGAGATTCAGAACATGAAAATGACACAGCGGAGGGGAAACTAGCTAGCTTCCTCTTTGCCACAGAGTTTGCCTAGTTCAAATGGTTTCCCTGTACAGGTTCAATTTAAAGTTCCTTAAAACTGCAGGGGATCTGTTAATGGATCACCCACAATTACATCTAGTTTGCTTCTTTGTCACTTGGTAATGATACCCTGTATTATTCAGCTGAAGTTACTAGTCAAGTTATATTTCATGTTAGTATTCATTTAAAAAAACTGTTTTCCTAGGACTATGGTAAATTTGTATGACGACCCAGAGTGGTCAAGCAAGGATATAGATGGTCACATTTGTGAAATTCGACAACATGTGGTGAAAAGTAAATTGTGCTGTTTTTCTGGGAAGAACTTGAAATACTATGGAAAAGAAATGTGCCAGAGGCAGCAAGAGGGTCACAAGATAACATTTTCAGATCTCTGGGGACTCTTTATTGAAACCATGCTTCGTGATAAGGTACTATAAAAACATTTTTTTAAATATGATTTTCTTCTTTATAACAAAATCCTGTTATAGCATTAGCTTTTATTGTGTCCTTCTCTAGCACTGATGTTTGATGGTATTTTCACCTAAACTTATACCTAAAAAGGATTCTTGGCCCCGGTCACACGGGCCGGATATCGCGGGGGGGGGAGCCGCGGCTGTTTGCCCTGGAGTGAACTACTGTGCGGCAGCGGGATCAAACATCCCGCCGACGTCCCGTGGTTGGGGGGGAGGTGCCGGGGAGGTGCCGATCATACGTCACTCCTGCGGAGTGCAAAGAAGCGGATCGGCGGGTTTTTTTTTTAACCCAAGTGTTCACATACATTGTTGGGTGCTTGTGCGCATCCTGTGGAGACTTGAAAAAAAACAACCCTTTTCACGACGGGACATGGGCGGGCGCCGGCTGCCACCGGAAACGTGATTAGATGCCCACCCTTGCCCCGTAGTTTCCGGAAACTAGTACCTCGGAGGTACTAGTTTTTTACCCCGCATCTTCGGCGGGAAGCCTCGGGTAAGCCATGGGAGCTCTACACTTCCCAGATGTGGTGCTGTGATCGGGCCCGGAAAATCCGCCTATCTTCCGTCTCTGTAGTGTGGCTAATGCTCCGTGTGACCGAAGCCCTCATCTGTTTGAACTGTAGTATCTGCTCCAAAGTCTGACCATCCACTGACCAATTAATTTTATTAGGGCATACTCAACACATGACATTCATTACCTTTGATTTATCGTAATTAATCAGTAAATCTTCATTTTTACAGAATTTTGAAATTAGACCTTGGTATAATCCAATTTCTGTTCCAGAAAGCAAAACCACATTCTGTGTGTACAGCAGGCATGTCGAATAGTATGGAGAAATGATAATTCTCATCTCCAAAGTAAATTGGAAGGTTATTAATGTAAAGATATAATTATGTTGGTGCTAGCATCGAACCTGGTGAACATTGCCCTGCCTTTCTGCCAGGATTTCCTGGTTCTTCATTGGTTCTTTGGACTTGTTGGTTCTGTCTGCTTTGAGAGGCTTTTGGCCACAGGTTGCTTTGTTTGCTTTTTTTGCCATGGAGAAAGTCTGGAATCCCACCTCCTACCAAAGCTGGGGACATCTTGTTCAGGGTGCAATTTGGTCAAAAACAGCCCCTTCTGCCCTCCAGAAGGATTCCCCATAGGGAATAATGGAGCCAAGTAATATCAGAAATCTGAAAAAAACCCTACCTGGATTCAAATACCAAGTTGGTATTTAGAACCCGGCAACCGGGAATACTGATATTTTTCAACTTCTTGGTATCCAGATTAAAAACAAAACAAAATAAAACTTTTTTTTAGCAGCACATGCCTAGTAAGTGGGTTTTTTTTAGAGTGTGCAGGCTTTGCTTGTTATTGTCAGTTGGCCTCTGACCCTGATCCTGCCCTGCCAGGCTATTGGAAATTTTTAACAACCCCCACCTATAGTCAAGCGTTTTTTAAGCTAGGATGAATGTAGTTCCATCAGCAATTCTGAGGGGCCTGTTATATGAAGCTTGTATTACAGGGCAGATATTGTGGATGTGGATGGAGAGAGCTTGAAACACTTGATCATATGATCTTGGATTGTCCATTATATATATATGGAGTGAAATGGTTGGATCCAGTCATAAGGAATTTAGTTAAATGTAGAGTACACTCTGTTATGAAGTGTTGGAACAAGAAAAAAAATGTGGTTAAATACAATTCAACAGCTTTTCATTCATTAGTTCACACATTGTGATGCCTTCCCCCAAGGAGCTTGGAGAGGCATTTCAGACTCACATTAATCTAGGGTTGGATCCAGATTCAATCAGCATTTCCCCGCCCTCTTGTGAGAATTCAACCTTCATTTTGGTTTGGAGAAGAGGGAAAGGAAGATATGTTGCTGGTTGTGGTGGGGCTCTTGACTGAGGAGGTGCAGTTAACACCAGGAAATGTATGAGACATTTTTAAATACATACAAATGATATTAATGAAAATAGTGATTCCATTACATCTGGATCGTTTAACAGTAAAATACAAATGGCAGCAATCCTAATACTATAGGTATACCAAGCTCTTTGTAAAAGTTTCTTTCTGAATCTCCAAATTTTTTGAAAAGTTTATTAAATTCAAAATGGTTATAAAATGTTGAGAATATTAGAATAACATTTAACAAAACATCAATTTTCAAATCAGGAATATCACTGATACCAAAAGGCTGTAACTTACTTTACGAACTATCATAGTCAATATATAACATGACATCATTATACAAAGTAATCGAAGAGTCTTCAACAAAGTACCAAGAACAATAACCTCTTAGTGACTTATAACTAAGAAAGATTAAAATAAAATAAGAGACTTAATTTTTTTGGAGCTATATTTTGGGACAACATAAAATTTCGGGACAACATAAAATCTGAACAGGGAACCATCTCTTTTGTTAACTGTTTTTTCTCTTAACAGCCAAATCCCCACAAACTCTCCAGTCAACGACAGGCAGTGAATTGGGGTCAGAACCCTCTCCCCATCTACCTTGCTCTTAATGTCAAAGAAAGTTATAGCACTCTTGATTTTAAAGGTCAGTATTGTCTACTCCTGATTGGCAGTAGTGCTCAAGCAACGGCCTTTCAAATCACCTGCTACCTGATGCTTTTAACTAGAGATGCCAGGGATTAAACCTTCTGCATGCAGAATAGATGCTCTATCTATCATTGATTCCGGGTTCCATGACCCAATTTTTTTAAAAAAAGAATCATGTCATTAAAATCCTTTGGGTTCCTTTAGCAGCTACTGATACAGCAATCCACAGTTTCCACTTTCAGCCATCTTTCAGCATTACTGTCTGCTCGCCCACTTTCTAGTTCACCCTCCAGCGATGCCCACCTTGTTCTAGCACAAGCAGAGAGATCCAAGGAAGTCATGGCAGCTTCCTTATGCTGCTATCAGAAATCAGATGCAGCTCTTAGGGCTAGAATGAGGGTGTTTTTTTTGTGACAGGCTATAGCTGGCTCCAGGGCTTTTTTTTTTTTTTTGAAAAAGAGGTGCTGGAACTCTCAAGAGGGAAATGAAGTTTTCTATCTGTATACTGAAAACTCATGAATTTTTAAACATTTTAAAAAGAATTTTGTTGAAGAGGTTCTGGAACTCCATTCCAGCATGTTCCCCCAGAAAAAAAAAAAGCCCTGGCTGGCTCTAAGAATTTATAGCGGCTACAGTCACTCGGAATGTCTGAGTCCATGAATGCTTGTTGAAGGGCTTCTGTTTTCCTAACTGTTTCAGTTTTAGGGCATTCCTTCCACTATCCCTGAAACAAGTATCAGTTTTGTGAGAATGTAATGTCTGTTTTAGGATCGCCTTCTATATTGTGGGTCTCACATGAAATTTGCATGAATTAACTTTTCTTCAAACGATGAAAATATGAAACTGAGAAAAAGAACAGCTTTGTAGCTTTACTTAGTGGTTTGCCACATAAATTGCCCTAATTACACAGATTCCACTCCAAAATCAATCACAGAAAGGCTGCTAGTGTTATATAGATTCTCCATTCAAATGGGAATGATCCACATAGTTAGCAAATGTATGGTTGACATATGGAACAGCTATCACATGGACACTATTGTAGATGGCTTCCATGAGGGGGCGTTAATGTGCATAATCATAGGTTCACAGCATTACAAAGAAATAGCTGGGTAGTTTCATAGTATGGCCATATATACTGTGCTCAGTACAAGCAGGTTGAATGTATGAGGTTTATTGTCATGTTTTTCTCCACTGTTTGAATAGTTACTTTTTCTAGATACATTTTTTTTATACGGCTGTTTGCAGAGTGGGTAGAGTTCACACCCTATGAAGTAGGATTCCCAAAATATGGAGCATTTGTTCGAGCTGAAGATTTTGGAAGCGAGTTCTTCATGGGTCATTTAATAAAGAAGATCCCAGAATCTCGACTCTGCTACTTGGAAGGTAGTTCATTCAAAATAAAATCCTACAACTTGTATAGTTTTATACATTCTGAAATGGACTCCATGACATTCACATAGTACAGAGAATTTTATCACACCCTTGCTTTTATGAATTTTAATAGTAGTGGACATGGTTATCTTCTTCCTACCATGATGATAATTCTAGATGGATAGCAGTGATACAATGCCATCCTAAGCAGAGGTACACTTTTTAAGTCCTTCAAAGATTAAAAAAGTATGCTTAGCATTGCACAGAATAAAACAGAAGTCCAGTGGCACCTTGAAGACTTCCAGTATTAGCTTTCATGAATTAGAACTCAGTTTCTCAGTTGTGAAAGTTTATGTTTATTTATATGGAAATTTCATACGTCAGTTTCTGACTCATGAAATCTGATGTCATTTTCATCCAAACTGCCACTTTCCTCCTATTTTATAAGAACATAAGAGACACCAATGTTGGATCAGGCCAAAGGCCCATCCAGTCCAACACTCTGTCACACACAGTGGCCAGAAATACCAGTGCCATCAGGAGGTCCACCAGTGGGGCCAGGACATTAGAAGCCTTCCCACTGTTGATCCCCCCCCCCAAGCACCAAGAAGACAGAGCATCACTTGCCCCAGAGCCCCTATCTATACCTTGTGGCTAATAGCCACTGATGGACCTCTGCTCCATATGCTTATCTAATTCCCTTTTGAAGCCGTCCATGCTTGTAGCCACCACCACTTCCTGTGGCAGTGAATTCCATGTGTTAATCACTCTTTGGGTGAAGAAGTACTTCCTTTTATTTGTTCTAACCCGACCGCTCTGCAGTTTCATGGAGTGCCCACGGGTTCTTGTATTGTGAGAAAGGGAGAAAAGTACCTCTTTCTCTACCTGCTCTTTCCCATGCATAATCTTATAAACCTCAATCATGTCACCCCTCAGTCGTCGTTTCTCCAAGCTAAAGAGCCCTAAGCGCTTTAACCTTTCCTCATAGGGAAAGTGTTCCAACCCTTTTATCATTCGAGTTGCCCTTTTCTGCACTTTTTCCAAAGCTATAATATCCTTTTTAAGGTGTGGTGACCAGAACTGCACACAGTATTCCAAATGAGGTCGCACCATTGATTTACTCTAAAATCGAATTCAACCGTACATTTTGATCCAGAGGTTCCCTCCCCCCATTCTGCACTGAAATCGAGTTCAACCTTCTTTTTATTTCGTGTCCCCCCCCCCCCATCGCGCTCCCCTGACAGATCCCCTTGGAGTGCCTCACAATCCTCACTGGTTTTCACCACCCTGAACAACTTTGTATCATCCGCAAATTTAGCCACTTCACTGCTTACTCCCATCTCCAAATCATTAATGAACAAGTTAAAAAGCAGTGGACCAAGTACTGATCCCTGCGGTACCCCACTGCTTACCACCCTCCACTGAGAAAATTGCCCACCTACACTCACTCTCTGTTTTCTATGAACTAGCCAGTTTTTGATCCATAAAAGGACTTGTCCTTCTATCCCATGATTTTTGAGCTTACTTAGGAGCCTTTGATGAGGAACTTTATCAAAAGCTTTCTGGAAGTCAAGGTAAATAATATCTATTGGATCCCCCTTGTCCACATGTTTGTTCACCCCCTCAAAGAACACTAACAGGTTAGTGAGACAAGATCTTCCCTTACAGAAACCGTGCTGAGTCTGCCTCAATAGGTTTTGTTCATCTATGTGCCTACTAATTCTTTCCTTAATAATGGTTTCCACCAATTTACCCGGTATCGACGTCAGACTGACTGGCCTGTAATTTCCCGGATCTCCTCTGGAACCCTTTTTAAAGATGGGAGTGACATTAGCTACCTTCCAATCCTCAGGAATGGAGGCAGATTTTAAGGAAAGATTACATATCTTTGTCAGGAGATCTACAAGTTCACATTTGAGTTCTTTCAGAACTCTCGGATGTATGCCATCTGGGCCTGGTGATTTTTCAGTTTTTAAGTTGTCTATCAGTTTTAGGACCTCCTCTCTCGTCACCTCAATCTGACTCAGGTCTTTCAACACCCCTCCTGAAATCAGTGGTTCTGGAGTGGGCAAGCACTTCTCATCTTCCACAGTGAAGACGGAGGCAAAAAATGCATTTAGCTTCTCAGCCATTTCCCTATCATCCTTCAATACTCCTTTTACCCCTTGGTCGTCCAAGGGCCCCACTGCCTCCCTGGCTGGTTTCCTGTTTCTAATGTATTTGAAGAAAGTTTTATTGTTGGTTTTTACGTTTTTTGCTATATGCTCCTCATATTCCCTTTTTGCCTGCCTGACCTCAGACTTGCATTTTATTTGCCATAGCCTGTGTTCCGTTTTATCAGCCTCACTGTGACTAGCTTTCCACTGCTTAAAGGAATTCTTTTTACTTTTTACAGCCTCCATTACTCTGTTTGTTAACCATGCAGGCTTTTTCCTATACCTTTTTGTGCCTTTCCTAACCTGCGGAATATATATTTTTTGAGCTTCTAGGATCGTAGTTTTAAATAGTTTCCAAGCTTCCCCAATGGTTTTGACCCATTCTACTTTTCCTTTCAGTTTCCTCCCCACATGTCCCCTCATATCAGAGAAATTACCCCTTTTAAAGTTAAAAATGGTAGTGTGAGTCTTTTTGGCCAATTCTCTATTTGTACAAATGTTGAACTCAACAACATTATGATCACTGTTCCCAAGCGGTGCAATCACTTTTACATCTCTCACCAGGTCTTGAGTGTTACTTAGGACCAAATCAAGGATCGCCTCTCCCCTGGTAGGTTCCGTGACCATCTGCTCCATAGCACAGTCATTTAGAGTGTCTAGAAACTCAATCTCTTTTTCCCAACTAGAACACATATTGACCCAATCAATGTGTGGGTAGATGTCATTTTCATCCAAACTGCCACTTTCCTCCTATTTTATTCTTCTTGTCTATATATATATCTTCTTCCTCTGTGTGTGTGTGTGTATACACACATACTAGGAGTATATATACTAGGAGCAAAGCCCATTGTGGAGGAAGACAACGTTCCCTAGAAAGAAGCGACGCAGGTGCTTATATTTCAGCCCCCGCCTCCTCGGCAGCATTCCCGATTGGGTTTCGGCCCACTCTCCCACCCTGTTGGTACTACAGGCTCTGGCTGGTTGCCCAGTTTAGGCGGCCATGTAGGAATTTTTCACCCCTTCCTGATTGGCCCCATGGTGGGGGTGTTTTTGCCTACCCTGTACTGCGGCAGTGGTGCAGGGGATTGTTTGGGTGCAGCCATGTTAGGTTGGTCACTTTATAGTTGGGCAGGGTTCTATGTGATTACTGATTGTGATCTGGTGAGCACCAGCTGACACCTCTTTTTTGGTGTCTAAGGGGTCTTGTGAGTATATTCCTTGGGCCCTGTGGTCCGGGACGGGGAAATCAGACTGCTTTCAGGACTGCTTTGGTTAGATCCTCCGTTTGAGTCTTGTAGCCCGGGGATGGGGCTCCAGGGCTGTCTTAAAATTGCTAGCCAGCTGGGCATGAGCCACAGCTGATGGCTCTTGCTTGAGGCAGGGTGCCTTGCCCTATGTCACATAGCAGAGGAGGGGTCTGCGGACCCCTGGCCTTGACCATACCACAAGCTGTGTTGCCCTTGCCATTATTTCCAGTTAATGTTGTCAGCTAATAAAGTGTCCCTTTAGTTAACCCAACATTTGTGTTTGCCTCTTTATTCCATCTTGGCGGGCAAATATATATATATGAAAGGCCACTCACCGTAAAATCAACGCCCAGGCCAAACTGCTGGACCTAGAGACACCATATTCGTGGAGAGCACTCCTACCATGGCGTAGGTGCTCACTAAGAAGGGATTTTTAGAAATTTGACCCCTAAGTGGGTCAAAAGGGGTAAAATGTGCTCCCTCCATTGATTCCTATGCGGCTGCCAGGCAGCTGCCTCCCTGCAACCCCCCACTCTCTGATTGGTCACCTGCAGAGCTCAGTGTTCTGAGGTAAAAAAAAAAAACAGTTACAGGGGACTTCAGAGAGCTAATGACAGTTGAGGAAATCAGTAGTGGCCAACAACCACCTGTGAGGTGAAGCAAACTGCTGGCCCAGCCTCTCTGATGGCTTCCAACACACTCCTCCCACCTCCTACACCTAACAGGTGGTTGTCAGGTGCAACAGCAGTTGCAGGGTGCTTAAAGTGACGAGGGAGCCTGTCCCAGTAGTAATGCCTTAGTGATCCTGCTGCCCCTACCTCCACAGTGGCTTCTAATACTTCTCCCCCTTCCCCTCCTACACTGGGCAGGCAGTTGCCTGTCAGGTGCAGGAGAGGAGGTGAGATGCTTACAGCTGCCGGGGAGGTTTGCTCAGCAGGATTACCTTAGCACTGCTGCTGGCTCAGCCTCCCTGATGCCTTTAAATACAATCCCCCCCAACACCAGACAGGCCGGTGTCTGTCAGGTGTAGGAGCAGGACCAGGGTACTTTAATCCATCAGGTACACTGCCCCAGCAGGATCACCATAGCGATGCTGCTGGTCCAGCCTCTCTGATGGCTTCCAACACATTCCCCCCACTTCCAACACCTAACAGGTGGTTGTCTGTCAGGTGCAGTAGTGGTTGCAGGGTGCTTAAAGCCACAAGGGAGCCTGCCCCAGCGGTAACACCTTAGTGATCCTGCCAGCCCTGCCTCCACAATGGCTTCTAATACTCCTTCCCTCTCCCCATCCTACACTGGACAAGCAGCTGCCTGTCAGGTGTAGGAGAGGAGGTGGGAGCCGCCAGGGAGGTTTGCTCAGCAGGACTGCCTTAGCACTGCTGCTGGCCCAGCCTCTCCGATGCCTTTAAATCCAATCCTCCCCAACACCAGACAGGCCAGTATATTTCAGATGTAGGAGCAGGACCAGGGTATGAATGTTCATGGGGAGATAGTAAAGGACATTTCTAGGAGCCATTTCGATGCATGCCTCCCTCATGAACCTGAAGAAATGTCCACCACATCACCACTCCCTCACACCAACTCCCACTCAAACCTCTCACCTCTTACTGCCCCCCGAGAAAGTTCCTGGCAAACGTCGAGCCAGATACACCAGTGCTACAAGGAGGAGGCAAGTTAGGAATGCGGCAAAGACATTTGCACATAGTACTCCTGCAGTGCACTGAGCTGCACAGGCCAAGTACCAGCAAGATCACCCTGAGGTGCTCAGAACAACACAGTCTCCATAGGAGCAAAACAATCCAGGAACACAAGTAGAGAGGCCATCAGTATCGTGGAAGGTAGCAGGAGCTGACTTAACAAATGACTGCTTCTTAAATGGACAGTTCTACATGGCCTGCTCCAGAGTGAGCTCACCAAGCAGCCTGGTGATCCTAGCACCTGAGGGCAGAGCCACCAGTGTGGTCTAGAGAGAGGTCCTTCAGTAGAGAGGGTGGGAAAAGTACGTATGTCTCACTTCATTTCTTACAGTACAATCTTCTCCGTTAGAATTCCTACAACAAATGTCACATTTTAAATTTCACATCATCAGTATTATAATTGGATTTATGGAGCTTAAATACCATAGCAAAGCACGGGTATCAGGCTACTATCTGTGTATGTATATATGTATGTGTATACACACACACACACACACACAACACTAACAGCAAGAAGATATATATAAAGTAGCTAACAACAAGCTTCTACAACTAAATCCATTTTACAAATTAATTACATATCATAAGTTCTGGTATACCAAATAATTCATATGGTTATATTCCATCTTGCAATCTAGAGTTTCAGTACATTAAAAAGTTAAACTGCTGTTCATAGAATTTATTTACTCAAAAATTCAGCAGTGTTTGAGCATGTACATGGTATGTTAATTTGATCATTAAACATTTTCCAGATCTTATAAACCATTCTGATCTTGTTAGTGCTTTTTCTTTTTTCCAGTTTATTGCAGTACAAATATCTATAATTTTCTTCTTTAATAATAATGCATATTTTCACTTTAGGGAATTAAGTCCCTTAATATTTAAATACAAACCTTTTAAAAATCTTATAGTAGGGCAGAAATTTTACTTCCGTGGTTATTTATCAGTATAAGAAGTATCATAAAATCTTGAGCTTGCTGTCAATTCTTAAGTATTGTCAGCTTACTACTTAAAAAACGTATTTAAAATGTATCCCCCAGTTATATCTAATCTGTTAGTCTGTAAATGCAAAATAGAACAGGAATCCAATGGCATCATGGAGACTATGAAAGTTTATTCCATTATTAGCTTTCATGAATCAGAACTCAGTTTTTGGCTTATGAAAGTTTATGCTGGTAAAAATGTTGTTTGTCTGCAATGTGCCCCTTGAAACTTGTTTTATTCTTCTTGTCATGATTTTAATTTTAAAATAATAAACAAAAAATCTATTTACTGTGTGGTTGGCTGTTACAGTAAACAATGTTTAAAATGTTTCTACAATAGTATAAAATTAATCTTAAAAATTATTTCTGCTCCCCAGGCACGTGGAGTAATATATTTTCCCAGAATATGCTGGATGCCTTATATTTATCAGAAAATTCAGAGGACTTCTGGCACACATGGACGAGAGACAGAGTGATTGATATTGGTCAGTCATTTTCAGGACACTGCTTTCCCTTGAGACTTTTGGAGGCAATTTGTTTTTGATTTAATCTGTCAGAAACAGAAAACATGAGAAAACAATGAACCCCACCCTCCCCATTATTATTGCTAAAATGCCCTTTCCACTGTTTATTCCTCCTCCTTTCCCCTAACGGCAGTCCCTGCTTTAGTCTAGTCTATTAGACACTGATGTTGAAGGCAAGCAAGTAGCTGTAGTCTAAAGGGCTTAACTATACATTACATTTATACATGTCTGCCATGGACTTTTAGTCAGATGTCAGCTACAAGTTTCCCATTGGGAACTCAATTGTCAAGCATGTGGGGCCCCAATTCAATTTGGGACTGCAGCATGTAGGGAGAAGGAGCTTCTGCCTGTCTCCCTGTGCCATTTTCCTGTCTTAAAACAGTCTGGGAGGCACACATAGTACCATCAATATTCATGCAACCCTCAGTGGGGTAAATAGTACCCCTGTGGCCTTTTCAGGTCAGGAATATGCACACTGTAATCTCAGTCCAAATTGAGGCCCTATGCACATGAGAACTGATTTTCCACCAGGGAGTTTGTAGCTTGTATTTGATTAAAAGGACTTGTTGTAGATATGTATAAAACTTAATGTGTAGTTTGACCCTTTAAAAAGGAGCTAATTTGTCTTGAAGGATGCAAATCCTGTATCATGCATCCTCTGAGCCAAATTCCACCCAAAATGAGAGAAGGCTCTAAATCCTCTGATCCATTTGGTTTATCTTCCCTTCTGTGATTTTTTTTGTTGGCAATTAATTCTAGGAGTACCTTTGCCAACAAAGTGCTTTCAGGAGTGTTCTTAATGGCATTTCCTCTTTATTGTGTGATCACTGCCATTGTATAAGAACCACTGAGACTGCTGGAACACTAAGAGTTCAATGGACACAAACATTTTGTACAAATTCAAAATTTGAATTTGATTTTTTTGAATACCAAACATTTTCTACTTTTGCATTTGAAATTTGAATTTGTGGAGTGCTTTAAAAACAAATTGTAAACCTTGTTGTAATTATTCAAAGTTATTCATAACAGCGGTACTCATTTTTGATTTTCTATTTTAAAGGAGAACTTTGACCAATGAAATTAAACAAAACTTTCTGTTTATATGACACAGATGAAAATACTTATCCTACTCTTCCTAAGAGGCCAAATGTGCAACGAACACGGCTCTTCATCCCCAGTGGAAGTCTCAGCAAAGTGCTTAGAGATGTTGTAACGATGCGCCCAGTGGTTTCACATTATCATAATTTTATGAAAGGCCTGCAGATGAATAATAAATACTTAGAGAACCACTGCTTTTCTACCTGGAAAGGTAATTCAGAAAGCTTTCATTTATCTGGATCTCTTTTAAAAAACTGGATATTTCTCATGATTTTCATCCATGTTTATATAGAAGATTATACACAATACACCCAGCATTTAACAGGTCATGTCAACAAACAGTTTAAGAGAAAATCCTGAGTCAGGCATTCATACCCAGTCACACCTTCCCCACTTAACCTCTACCTCCTTCCTGTCTACTTCTCCTTCACCCTAATCAGTCACTCCCTCCAGTGATGGTGATGAAGCCTTCAAGATAGTGCTAGGTATGTACAATGCACACTGGCCTCCTTATGCACACAGGTTCTGGTACCTTGAACATCTCATGGAGTGCAGCCCTACGAACACATTTCTGGGAATAAGCCCATTGAATATAATGGGACATACTTCTGAGTAGACCTGCTTAGGATTGTTCTCATGTTTAAGAACTATTATTATGGTTACAAAGAAAATGTGCGAGCAATTATAGTAGGCTCAGAAGCCAAAGAGATGCAGATAAGATTCAGTGTGCTAAAAGGGTAAGAATTTAGGAGCCTTCATGGCCAGTCCTCCTTCTTCCATGGCTCTGGAGGTTTTCTAATCCAGTTTGTCTTGTTTGTGCTCAGGGGCAGGTGGAGGCTCTCACAAACATTGTCAAGCAGATAGGCTGGGACCTCAGGATTGACAGGAACAGCAATCACTGTCAGAGCTGTTGATCCCACAACAGCCAGAGCTGAACTGATGCAGCTAGTGCCTGCAGCTGTGGTAGGGGCCTAGAGTCTGCAGGCGCTTATAGTAGGATCCTATCAGATGGCCCAGGAACCCAGTGTTCATTAGTTTTTTAACCTCCATGGGATTAGCCACTGACGTCCTCATTCTCTGAGAAGGACTCATGATCCTCAACTCTGACATAGTCCTCAATGTTTCTCCCTTGGTTGACTGTACCCTGTATTTCCCCAAATCATACAAATAAATAATTACATGAATAATTTATTCTTCTGATGTTCCAAAATTTTGCATGATTGTCTCTTTTTCTACAATTACCATGGTGATGAAGAGAAAAGGGAATAGAGGGAAGAAAGGCATGGATTGGTCTAAGGGGTGGAACGTGCTGCATAATAGAGTTCTTTTTCCTCAATTAATTTATTTAAAGCATTTATATGCTGCCTCTAGAAATCTGCTTGAAGCAGCTTACAAAATAAAAGAAGAAAGTCATTAACCCCCCCACTATTAAATTAACCACTCTTAGAAACCAATCAATAAAAAGTGCACCTAGGAAGCAACATGCTTAACTTCTTCCTCTCCTCTTCCACTAGGCAGGCAGAGCTGGACCTGAGCAGCTGGGATGGAGCATGAAAGCAAACTCCTTGGGGGTGGCTAAAGGAACCTCATTTCTTGAAATGAATATCTAGGGCTGGTCCACCTCTAACTCCCTAGGCAAACTATGACTTTGGTGCCCCTCTGTTCAATACAGAGAAAATAAGAAGTCTAGAATGAACATTTTACTGGGCATTCAAAATGAACAATGTAATAATAAAACAGATAAGTTCTTCAGAAGCCTTCAAAGTTCCATCATGGCAGCTATAGAAGACCAGTGTCAACAGATACGGAGATTCTAGATGCCAGTTAATGCCAGGCTTCCCGCTAAACCTGCCTTTTTGGTTTCCCATCAAATTTTGGCACCCCAGGTGTTCACCTAAGTTTGCCTAGTGACTGGACCAGCCCTGGGTGTATCTTAGCTTTGAAGAATCACCTCATTTTAAAAATGAAGTTGAAGCTACTTGAAAAATGAAAACATAAAAGGAGCCTGCCTCTCATATGTACCTATACAGCAGTGAAAAAGTATATACTGTAAAAGTGTAATTAAGCCTGCCCTGCAGGGGGGTTAAAATATGTTAAGAATACAGAATTTAATGGCATCCCCTTGCTTTTTCCTATTGTCATGTGCCACTATTGCAGTGCTGTAAATATGAACAAACTGCATTTCAGATACTGTACTAGATTCTTCTCCCAATCGACTGACTGAGACACCAGACTATCTGGAACTTGTAGACACGGCTTTCTTCATCAATACTAGCTGCCCACCTCTTCTGAGGCCAGAGAGGAAAGTGGATCTTATTTTGCATTTGAATTACAGTGGAGGATCACAGACATTGGTGAGAAGATTCTTTGGCGCCTTTGGCAACTTCTTGATATCTATTTGCTTCTCCATTTCCTCCCCACTTTAAAGATTAAGAATTGATGATTCCAAGTAGACGTATGCATTTCTTTAGTTATTAATAACAGTACTTACAAAAATATGGTGTTTTGTAGTTGTAGCAATTAATATAAATGAAACAAATTCCCTGTCTGAACAGCCTATAATGAAAAAAGCCCATGATTTTCTTTTGTTTTGTTCAGGAGCTTTATTTACTGCCTCTGTCTCTGTTGTCTCAAGTTTTCTTAACAAGGGCATACCAAGCTATATTCCTTGGGGGGGGGGGGAGAATGAGGAAGAGCAGACTGTAGCCAGTATGACTACATACATGTGTGAGGTAGTCCAATCCTGAAGCATGTGGACTGGGGCTTCAAATCAAATAAAAGCTGACTGAACATACTGCAACTTGCCTGTTTCTAGGGATCTCAGAGGGACAGAGATTTTTTTGTGATTTTTTTCTTGTGCCAAAATATGGTGACTATAGTATTTTATTCTATATTAATTCTATATTATTTAGAATATATTATTTCTTTCTTACTTGGATTAGTTTTTTTTAGTATAGTTTCCTTTTTGTATGTATTATGTTCTCTAATAGTTTCTGAAGCATTTTACCATTTTTACTTAGGACTTGCCCCCCCCTCCCTGCTTTATTATTGGATTTGTGGCTTACCTTAGTGCCTTGCTTCCTCCTGCCACTTCTGGCTCTTCAGAGCTCAATTTTTGCTTAATCCCCTCAGTCTTATTTGCTTCATTAGTTCTTTATGAAGTATTTCAGTGTGTGACTTGATGTGATTGCATGTTGCATCTGTCCTAGCAAATCCTTTTGATTTTTAACTGTGGTTTCTCCAGCTGGTGAAGCTGTTGTGGACCTGTGGGTCTTTGGGAATTATGATTCATTTGGGATTTGTGTCTTGTGTAACTAGGGTTGCCAGGTCTTACCTGGGTCCTGGCAGGGGGCTCTATCCTGGCTCCAGGAGTCTTCTGGCATGCATGTCACGATGACTTCACCCGGAGGTGATGTCATCATGCTGAGAACGTCAGCTGTGATGGGGGCTCTTTGGGGGCAGGGCCAGAAAGTGGGGAAATCCCTCCCCAATTGGTGGGTTGGCATCCCTATGTGTAACTCAGCCTGTACTGTGTGTCTGGTTGTCCTGAGGGTAACGCAAGCACAACCCAAGCATAAGATAAAAATTAATCTCACATACAGTCTAGTAATACAATTACACAAATTATATACATGTTCTTCTTTCCTCCAAAACCTGGCTGTGTGCTCTGCCCTGCCCTGGATGCATGCTGATATCCAAATATTATCCCTCTTTCCATCAAAGCAAATCATCATCATCATTTTTCACTGAGACACAAGGTGGATTACAAAATCTAACCCCCCCAAACAACAACAACAACCCAACAACGAACAAACAACCAACCAAACAAAAAAAATTCTATCAGGCAGCAAAAACCTCTCACAAAGTAAGGAAGGACTAGGATTACAGAACTGGGAAGGCCATGTGAACGAAAGATGGCCTAAAGGCAGGGGTCCCTAACATGGTGCCTGTGAGTGCCTTGGTGCCCACCAACACCTTTCCTTGTGCCCACCAAGTGTTTTGAGAAAGAGGGTGGGCCACGTGGTGATTTTGTTTAGTGATTGGCTATTGAGGATTTGGTTGGCTGTGCAGATTTTTTAAAATGATGCTTTGGCAGCAGCTGCCACCACAGTGCAAGGATCTTCACTCTGTGACTGAAGTTAATCTGCAGCAGCCATTTTGTGTCTGCGCCTGACATACTCTGTCAGAATTTCAAAGGCACCCACAGGTTAAAAAAGTTTGGGGAACCCTGGTCTAAGGCAACAAAAATATGCTGGAGAACCTGGGCTGTGAAGAAATGCATTTTTTGAGTAGAGGTCTGACCTGAGAAAATCTTTAAAAGTTTTTCTTCTTTCTGGGCAGAGAACAGGCAAGAAGGAGGGAGTTGGTTCAATGGCTTTCCAATGTCACCTCAGCTACCTCTTAAGGAATGCTAATAGGTCTAGCTAGAGACAATAGTATAGTCCAGTCCCCCCCCCCCCCACAAGCAGGGAATAGAGATTTGGAGGAACTGAAGACCAGAGAGACTTCAGGAAGGAATTCCTGGCAATCTCCAGGAAAACATTTATTTGACCTGGCCTGACCTGGTCAGTGGTTGGGGAATAGAGATAGCATAAAACTCCTGGAAGCAAGGAGGAATGGCTCTTTTGTGCTGAGTCCATCAGAGCAGACAGAACTCTTGAGGTTTGGAGGAGGAGGCCATTAACCATGTGCAGGTCTAGAAAGCTGGAGAAAGCTTCAAGGTAATGGTGACTCTGTAAAGATCTATAACATTCTAAGCTCAGGAGCCTGTCCTGTAGTCTAACATCTGATAGGGCATGTATAGAGAGAAGGACAGAGATATTGTGATTTACCCTTTTCTTTGCTCAGTCTGGTGTTGTGCTAAGAGTATGCTTGTAAACATTTTCTTTTTAATAAATACTTATAACTTTTGGTGCTGGTAGTGGTTCTCTGTACCACATAGACCCCCACCATCTTGGACACACTATTTTAAAAGGAGTGTCAGGAGGAATGCAGTCAATTGGCAAGTGGCTATTCCTCCAGGGGCAGACAAGGCAGTAGACTGTTCCTGTGGTGACCAGATGCTGGGCAGTGGGGGACACAGAGGCAAGGCCTCAGAACTTGGAAGGGAAGCTGGGAGTCCTCCTGACCCTCCCAGTGGGCAATTCCTGCAGAGATTAAATGGTGGCAGCAGGTTACTGGAGAGAAAGAAAAGCCTCTCTAGATGTTGGGAAAATCTTGAAGGGCAGGGTGGAACAGTGCCTGCAGGAGGAGCAGGATTGCTCTACCACATGGGCCTTTGCTATTATTACTGGCTACCCTTCCCTATCAATGTTTCATAAAATCATAGTGCTTGAAAAACTAGGCCAGTCCCCTGTACCAAGACAAAACATACCAACCTCCAGATATATTTGATAGTGATAGGGTTGCTAGCCTGTAGGGACAATGCTCTAGCATTTGCCCCGAAATGCAATGGGTTAATCATAGAGTTTTGGGCAAATGCTGGAGTGTCACCTGACATGATGACATCACTTATCACAGAGTTTTCCTTCCACTGTCCTGCAGAGCAGCGGTGGGCACAGCCAATGGAGGAGTGGAAGATGTTTTACTGAAGTGGGAGACCTGGCCTCCCTAGAGAGGGGCCTACTCACACTTCTAATGAAACTTCTAGCCTTTATGAAATCAAAGCTCTCTCATCTCTCAGGGTTTTGATTTTGCTCATTTTTTTGATGTTGTAGCCATTGGACTTATCTATGAAGTACTATGCAGAGCAGGGTATCCCATACCCCAAGACTGTGCTGAGTGAAGAAGACAGGCAGCATCTCAAGGAGTGCTATCTCTTTGATGAGGCGGACAATCCAAAGGCTCCTATAGTGCTGTATTTCCCACTGGTATGCGACACTTTTCAAAAATACAAAGCACCTGGTAAGTTAACTGGATTAGGATTCCACCTAGCATGACCTTCCTAAAGCTGATTATTAGTATTGGCTCCAACATTTTAGTCTATAGCTAGTACTGAAAATAGGAACATACAGAGGAGAGAGAAAATTGTGTGCAGGGCTAGATTATTTTGGCAACAATAGTCCCCCATGGCCAAAGAGATAACACCATTTAAAAAGTGGCTTATGTCTTTGTTGAAAAAGCAGAAATGAAGCAATGGCTGTATGTGGTTCTTTCCCCCATGACCAATGATCTTTAGATTCCAAGTTTAGATTTCAATGGAATAGTGTCACCCCACCTTCATCTCACTTATGCCTCTGTTAGTCCTACTCACTCACCATGTCAGATTGCACCCAACTCCATGGTTTCCTTTCACCCACTCCCACTCACCCCATACTCTGCACACTACTTGCATTACCAAAACGAAGAGCAGTGTGGCAGATGGAGAATTTCATGTGGCTTCCCCACTGTCAGCATCTATTTCTCATGAGAAAATGAAGTGTTCCTCTAAAAGGCAGACCAGTTAAAGTCCAAGCATGCAAAAGCAACTGGTAAATAAGCTCATGCCACAACTCTTCTTGCTCACAAAGCAAACAAAGCCTCACTGCTTCTGTAAAGTGTGATTGATTCCAAAGTTACAAAGTTAACACAGCAAATGCAGATAATTTCAGTGTTCCAATGTGAGAAGATCACAGTGGTGTGAAACAGTAGTATCTGCTCATTTCCTTCTTGGGGTTGTTTTTTCCACAGGTGTGGAACGCAGTCCTGATGAGATGGAGGAGGGCGAAGCTGATGTTACCAGCACTATATTTTCCCCTTATGCCACTGGTTTGGTGCAGTATACAGAGGAGGATTTCAACAAGCTGTTGAATTTGACCAACTACAATATCCTCAATAATGAACATATGGTTCTGCAGGCTCTCCGTATTGCCGTGGAGCGAAAGAAACGGCAGAAAAGGGAGTCTTTATTTTAATCACGTTAACCATCTCAGAATGCATTTTCCTTATTTTCTGGCTGTGGAAGCTACCGGAGGTGTTGGCCAGTATTGCATATTTTTGCTGTTGGCCAGTATTGAATATTTTTGCTGTTGGCCAGTATTGCATATAGCTAATGTTGTTATTTTATGTCATATATACAATACCTCAAGTGTGCAAAGGGCTGGACTTTGGAATGGAAGTCCTGAACTGTGGCTAGGATTGCCAGCCAGACTTGGCAACCCACTGGGAAGATTTTAGGGGTGGAGAGAAGCACATCAATATCGTGCAAGCATGCGATTCCACTTCTAGTGAAAACCAGAAGGGACGTCATGACATTGAAAGAAACTTTCTAGGTATTGCTCAAAACTCTGTCGTTAAATCACAGCATCACCTGTGATGCCTACAGCATCCTCTTTGATGTGATAACCATGTGCACCCCTCATTTCCCCCATTTTTTTCTGGCAGCCTTTGAGGCACTGGCTAGAAGAGGGGGAAATCATGCCCCCCCCCCGCAGTCCTGGCTCACAGGGGAGCATGGAGATTTGCATTTGAAGTATACATTCTCATGTAAAGGGGGAGCTCCTAGGACCATTAAGTCATGAGTTTAAAAAAAAATAACGTAATGGCACCATTGATAAGAAACTGCATTCCATCAGTTTAGGCCTGAAAAGTATGCAGACGGAGAGTGATTTCAGCTAAGCATACCTTTATTTAGTTCAGAACAAAGACAACTGACCGGCTCGCAGGCCGGTTTATATGCATTCAGAAAACCCGCCACCAAGCTCACCTAAACACACCCCCTACTCCCGATAGGCTATTTACAGTAACCGAGAGACCCATTGGCCTCCTGGCTGGGGACCTAGCCCTTTCATTGGGCCGGCTAGGATCCTACGGACCCATTGTCTTTAGACTCGAAGCTATTGAGGAATTGTGCCTGGCCAGCCTGGGCAAGTCCGGGCATGTCAGGCTGAATACATTACAATGCCATTGGTCAGCTTTGCCTCTGACTGGCAGTGGCTTTCCAAGGACTCAGGCGATGATCTTTCCTCAGTCCTGCTACTTATTTTAAACTGGAGAAACCAGCATTTGAACTAGGGGTCTTCTGCATGCAAAACATATATCACTCCAGAGTTATTCAGCTAAGAGGGGTTGGAGTGTGGTCTTTCCAGGTTCAAGCCCAGCACTATAGAATCAAAAGTAGAGGCCTGATTGGTATTGCCTCAGCAATCATAGAGTTTGTTTTGAAATGCATGAATATTACTTGATAATGACAACACCAAGTGATAATATGCATGTGTAATGCAGCACCCACAGGTAAAACACCACAGCTTTCTTGACAACTCACATGGCCTCAGACACAGTCCGTTTCAATGGAGGAAGTTCATGGGTGAGTCACTGAGGGATGATAATGATGTGTTAATTCAGAATATGCTAATTTGAGTTTCAGTCCTTGAAACTGTCAACATCCCATGTCATGTCCTCAATTGATGAATGTGTCTGTTACCCCTCAGTAAGCAGTAGGCTGTGGCAAATTGCTGTAAAACCTAGAGCAATTAGTAGGGTCATAAATATGAAGCATAAGATTACTAATCATGGCCCAAATGTGAGCTGTATTTTTACTGGCTGCATAGCTGGGGGAAGATCAGCAAATGTGGCTTTCATTGTTACTACAACACAGTGATACTTAGCTGATTCTATGACTCTCACCCTGGGTTCCTGTCCTAAATATATTTGAGCAGCTGTGCTGGATCAGTCCAGTGGTCCATCTAGCCCAGTAGCCTGTTTCATGTAGTTGCCAACAAAGTGCCCCAGAAGGCCTGTGAACAGGTTTAGCTTGTCAGGTCTCTTCCTATTGTTACCTCAGCACAAATTTAGCAATAAAATTTCAGAGATACTCTGTCTATCAACATGCATGTTGTGAAGGGACAAATTGCAATTTGTTTTGGTAGTTATCTGCATTATCACTACAGGGAAAAATATTAAAGAAACAAGACTTCCAAAACAAAAAAACTCACCTGGCCAATGAATGGGATAAGTAACAAACTGCACCATGTAGAGGTGCAGTTCAACGGTTATTCTGCAAGCACTTCCTGATGAGAAAGTAAAAAGAGTCCCCAGATGTGGCCAACAGTTGTTATTCCTCTGTCGGTATCTGATTGTTTCATTGGTGGTCAGGCATATCTTTGATGAACATTGCTTTAGTGATAATTGTACAATAAAAGACTTATTTTCTAATCAGAGTCTCTTAAATATATAACAATACAAAATAAAGGTAACATACATTCCATAAAATTATATCCAATCAAAAGATATGTAAGTCTGATCTGCATCCTAGCATTTAATATTACTATAAATTCCCAAAGAGACTGTTTCATTATTGGGTTGTTTTGTATGCTTTTATTTCATTATTGTTTCTTTTATTATTGTTGTTTCATTTTCATAATTGTAATTCATTATTATTTTCTATTGGTTTCAGTAAAATATGGCCCCCCCCCCGTTTCTTGAGTCGTCATAGTTTTTCATCCATATTGGACAAACCTTAGGGGTATTGTAGCACTCCCCTACAATATCTGCAGTCCCAAATTTCAGATGATAGGAAAAAGGGTTCCCCCTTTTTGGGGTGAAGAAAGGCATCCATGTTTAACATTAAAGTCTATGGGAGAATTCATAGGAAAGACTCTGAACGTGCATCTGGCACACTTAGCTTGATGGACAGTTGCACAAGGAAGAGGCAGATTTACAAGGCAAGGGCATTTGGTAGTATAAGGAGGTCAAGGCATCTGGGCAGATAGGCAGCAGCAAGAAGACCTTGAGACAGATTTGCATGGACAAGGAATAACGTTTGGAGAGCAGCAGGCAAGAGGGCAGTGCAGATTGCAAGGGGAAATTTGGCACAGCAGGACAGCAGGAGAACAGGAGGCACAGTTCCATCCAAATCCTGCAGGATTGTAATATCTCTCACACATGTATATCATCCTACTGTCTACAGCTTGCAGTCAATCAAGAAAGCCCAGAGACTATCTCTCTCTCCAACCCCTAAGCACCCAGTTTATGCCCTTTGTGGAAAAATATGTTTTATTGTGGAGGTTTGGACTGTACAAAGCTTTCACCTTTAGTTTTAAGAAGTGTTCCTCTCTCTTAGTAAAGAACAGGCAGGAGGGAGAGAAGTCAAAATGATTACTTAGCAGCCTCACCAAACATTGCTGTAGCACTGCTAATGGATTCTCTGGCCAGAGACAATAAAATGGTCAACTCACACTTCCAGCTAGAAGCTGACAACTAGCAGGAAAGAGAGATTTGGGGTATTAGATGGGTGTAAGATTTGGGATGTAAGATGCTAGAAGATATCTTCCAGGAGATTTCAGGAAATGTTTCTTTGACCCAGTGGCAGTGGGCAAACAGAGATAACAAAACCTCTTGGTATTGATGGGGAGGGTCTCTTTGGCTGATTCCAGCTAGGGAGAAGGAGCTCTTACATGTGGGCTACTGCTGGAGTCAGCCACTAGCATGTGGAGGGCTGCTGGCCCGGACAGAGACATAGAGGTAATGGGATTTTTTTTTTTTTAGAATTTAGAGCCTTCCTTAGAAGCTGCTAGGTCGTGTACAGAGTGGGGGACAGATGGATTGTATGCTTACACCTTTCTTCTGGATGCCTTGATTAATCCGTTGCTGTGTTGATAGTATGTGTGTGGACATTTTCTTTTTAATAAATGCTTTTAATTTTGAATGCTGGTACTTGTTCTCTATGCAACATAGAACTCTAGTGTTCAAAGTAAACCCAGTATTTTAAATGGGCACCAGGAGAAGGGGGGCAGTCAATTGGCAGATTACTACTTTCTTAGTAGTGTGCAAGTACAGTAAGCTGTTCCTGTGATAACCAGATGTTGGGTAGTGGGAGATGCAGGCACAAGTTAGGGCTTTAGAATGGCAATGCAGGGAAGGGAACCTGGGAGCACTGGCCCTCTCAGTGGGTAATTCCTACAAAGGCCATTTGGTGGCAGTTGTCTACTGAAATTGGGAGAGAAAACCCCTCTGAGGGTAGGGAAAAGCCAGGAGAGTAGGGCAAATTTGGACAGCTGTTGATGCCTAGATGCCTCAGAGGGCAGGATAACTGTAGGTCACTGGGGCTGTTCTGCCACCCTTATTAGGAAATTGCTGCTTTCTAAAAGTGAAACCAGTAGAGTCAGAGACAGGTAAGCCTGTTTTAATAAGATGTAGCCACTGGGTCTCATTCTGGCCCAGCCTGGGGAGTAGTGACTACTAGAGTGGAAGGTTTCAGCATGCTGGGGAAAGGGGGACCTTCCATCTCTGGGCCACCAAGCACACTGGTACACAAGCATGCTTGCTGACACTCTTTATTCTCTGCTTAATCTTACTACCATGGTCCTGCATAGGGTAGTTTCCTGGCTGCCTTGGCTCCATCACTTTTCTGCATAACTGAGAAACTGCCTGCCAATTCCTCAGTCCTTACTCCTCTGTCCCCACTCCTTCCTCACAGCTTCTCATCTTAGCCATTATTAAATCAACCCCCAGTAGCTGCCTTCCATCTGGGAGTCAGGGGAAGGGCCTCCTCCATGCCGAATAGCCAACCACAACCCACCCAGTGACCTTATGGGCAGACCTGCACAATGGATCTAATGGAACTTTCCATGCTCTCCGGTTCCACCGTCTGGTGTCCAGGTTGCTCCACCTGAATCTAGGTGCTGCACAGGGTATTTATTTAATTTTTACATTAATTGTGATAATTATGAAACATTCCATTCCAGAATAGTGGGGATTCATTCCCAAGTCTTGTCCATGTTGCTCTTGACAGGCGACACCCTTGATACTATGGTTTTACCACAAAATTTTGGCCAGTTCCTAGAGATGTATGATGCAACTTCCAGGTTTCCTGGAAGTGATGAAATGCTGTTGCCTGCCAGCCAGTTTTAAATTTTTCTCCCTCCCTCCCTCCCTCCCTCCCTCCCTCCAAGTAGTGGGGGCATATGCCAGCTGGGGGGGTTTGTAATCCTACTGGAGAGAACCTCTACATATAGAAGCAGTAAACTGTTGTATCTTTAATGTTAGGCATCTAACATTAGGCATTTGAATAAGGAGGCAGGTTAGTATCAAATAGCACAGTTTAATAACTCAGGCTCTCTTTTTCTTTGTGGAGCTGTAGTAACAACAATTTGCTCTTTTCTGTTCTTGCCCCACTAAGTCCTGGAGTGTATTAGGGCAGTCTAAAACACTGGCCTAGAGTAAAGGAACAGAATTGTCACAAACACAACATAAATCTAGGAGGGAACGTCACCTGGAGGGCCTTGGCCTTGTTGAGAAATGGACTAATATTTGCTGTTTATGAATTTATATATATGCTAACACACTACATAGATTGTGCGCACACATTTGCTCATAGACTCAAAGGTAAAGCTGTTTGAATCGCCTGTTGTGTGAGAGAGGTTTTCACATAGAAGGTACTGAACTGCATTTCATGCTAATGAGTTTGCAGACACACAAACACAGCTACTAAGCCTTATGGGAAGAAGAAGCACATTTTGCCATTGTTAGCAGGAAATACAGCTTAAAAAGACAAGTATTCCCCCATTGCTGAGAGACTTGATGTCATGTTTTACACGGAGCTAATCTGCATCTGAATTGCCATTTCCTGGTGGACGTGCCTAGAGTCAATGGAAAGCTGGTACCTATCTGCACATCAAGGAGAATCATGATGCTGAGGT